TACCAAGTCATGTACATACATATATTTAAAAACTTTTCTTTTGGTACTGGGGATTGAACCCAGGGGTGCTTTACCACTGAGCTACATCCCCAGACCTTTTTATTTTTTGAGACAGGGTCTCACTAAGTTGCTGAGATTGGCCTTGACCTTGCAAACTTCCTGCCTCAGTTACTAGAGTCACTGCGACTGCAGGTGTGCACCATTGTACTATGCTCTGAAAGTTATTTCTCTATGTCTCCATCTGTTTCTACATTGGGATAAATTTGGGTTCATATTGGTATCTCCAACTCTAATCCATTACTACAAATACAATTCTAGCCACATCTCCTTGCTTATCTATAACCTCCCACTGCAACACGGAGAAGCCTGGTTCACCATCTTCCATCCATTTATTTAATTGCTCAGATCCAGTATGTGTTTAGTGTCTAGGCCTGTGAAGCATTGATCCAACAGAAACAACTTTACCAACTGCAGTCCGATGCTATGTGCAGTTCTTTCTGCCTTTGGTCTTACTAATTTCACTCATCCCTAAAGCAACTAAGGTCAGGGAGGTTCTTTCATACATTTGTAATAAAGTAAGATTCTTTCGTTATAATCTACATCTCATCCTGGAATTGACCTTGTAAATGATTGTTTAAAAAATTTACATCTACTAAGGTTCACTCCCATACTGTATATTAGCTAATCTATTCTGTAAAATAAACAATAAAATCACAAGCTTGGTAGCTTAAAATAACATGTTTCGTATCTAACAGTCCTGTGGGTCGGAAGTTCCACGGTGCCACTAGATGTCTGCAAGGCTGTGTGACCTTTTTTAATATCTTTATTTTATTTGTTTATTGTATGTGGTAGTGCCTCACACATGCTAGGCAAGCACTCTACCACTAAGCCACAACCTGGCCCAGCTGTGCACCCTTCTAAGGACTCTGGGAGAGAATCTGTTTCCTTGCATTTATCAGCTTTCATAGACTGCCCCCTCCTCACCTCCAGCATTTTCAAGCCAGCAATGTGGCACCTCCCTGAGCTTTCTCTTGCCATCACATTGCTCTGTCAACACAGCTGGGAAAGGACGTGTGTGATGGATTAGGCCCACTTGGATACTTACTCCAGGATACTTCCCCTATCCCAGGTCCTTAATGTTAATCGTGTCAGAAAGCCCACTGGCCACAGGTGACATCTTCCCAGGTTTCAGGGTTAAGAGTTGGGCATTTTTAGAGGGGGCGTTATTCTGCCACTATGAAAATCTACGGGTTAGGCAAATGCACATTATTATGTATCCACCGTACAGGGCCATACAAAATAATTTTACTGCTGTGGTAGACAGACACCCATCTCTCAATTCCCAGTCTGTGAAAGTGCTGTTTCATAGCACAGGGGGAAAATGGAGCAGATGGAATTAAGGTTGTTCATCATCTGACCTTAACACTGGGGTATTATCCCTGGTCATCTGGGTGGGCCTGACGTAATCACAGAGGTCCTTACACATAAAGAAGGAAGATGAGTCAGAGGAGCTGTAACAAGGAACTCAAGTTTGCAGTGAGAAAAAAATGGATCTTCCTCGAGGGCCCGCAGAGGAACACAGCCCTGCTGACACTTCTCCAGTGAGAACCATTTGACTTAAAAGACTAATTCAATAACCAGATAAACGGTTAGAAGTAGAAGCAAGGTTAATTACTGATACATCCTGTAAGGTTAATTACTGATACATCCTACATACATGCATGAGCTAGAAAATGGACAGTGAGTGAAAGCAGCTAGACACAAAAAGCTGCACATTATACAAGTCTGTTTTTCCACACCTATGGAAAAATT